TCTTTTGTTGGCTGATGGCATTGCTGACTTCTTCCAAACTAGGCAGTGCTGCAAGCTCATCCCTGGTTTGTTGTTGCGGGATTTGTAAGAGGACCTCTTCGGCCACACTGGAGCTGCGGTTTAGGAGGCTTTGGTAGTGTTCTTTCCAACGTAGTGCAATTGACTTTTGGTCCTTCAGGAGTTTGGTTCCGTCTGATGAGCGTAGAGGCTGTATGCCATGGTTTCTTGGTCCATAGATGACCTTTGTGGCTTTGAAAAATCCTTGAGCATTATGGGTATCTGCCAGGTGTTGGATTTCTTCAGCCTTCTTTGTCCACCAGATGTTCTTGAGTTCTCTGGTCCTTCTTTGGACCTCAGCTTTTGCACTGGCGTAGATCTTTTTCTTAGCAGCACAGTTGATGTCTCTCTGCCATGTTTGGAAGGCTTTCCTTTTCTTGTCGATTAGCTGTTGGATCTCGATGTCATGTCTCGATGGCAAAATAAGACCATTCTTATTTTGCTTTGGTGAGACCTCATTTGGATTAATGGTTCCAGTTTAATGATATTGACATGCTGGAACATGTTCAAAGATTACCTGTCCTAGACAATCAAAAAGCTAGAAGTCAATTCTTATGAGGAATGACTTTATGGAGTTTCGAATCTTGGAGATGTCATAATTTATATTGGAATATCTGAAAACGGGTCACGTGAAAGATGTCAGCTTATGTTCTGCAGCTCCAGATATTAGAACTCTAGGTAATTGAACTTGTTTATTCTGAAGGTTGTTTTTATGTGTTTGCCTATGACAGTGGATTCTTCCTCTTTGGAAGTTCTTAAACTAAGGTTGGATGCTCATCTTTCAGGAGTGTTTTGCATATTCCTGAGCATCAGTGGGGTGGATTACCTTGCTCTGTGGTCTCTTCTGTTTCTATGATTCTAAGCCATCATCATAATGAGAAGCAACCTGTGACCCTTCTGATTTTGGGTCTCTCAACTCCCATCTGTCCCAACAAATATCATCTCTTGTCCTATCAAAAAAGGAGTTTTAAAAAATGTGTAGGGTGCACCTCACCTTCTATGGATTTTTAAATATTTGAAAAATGTCAGCATCTCTTCTTCCCCTTGGGCTTCTTGCCTCCAGGCTAAACATGCTCAGCTCCTCCAGCCTTTCCTTACATGATTTGCCTTTTAGCTCCTCAGTTCAAAGTAGGTGAATTCCGGCATTTTCAGACAAGTCTTTCTCACACTGATCAACAGAGGACAGGATATGTCAAATTGTTGTTTTCGTATCAGAGCAACTCAAGTATGATGTGCAACTCTGAGGTTTTTCACAGAATATTTTAAAAACATCTGGTGCATCGAAAGTGCTTTTAGTCCAACCTTCTGTATAATTTGCGAAAAGAGTTAGCAAGTATCTGACATTTGGTTTGCTAACAGCATTTGGAAGCTCTGCTCTTTTGTTATCATGGTTACAGCTCGTAATGGACATATATGGACCTATCAGGTTGGACTGAGCATTTCTGGGGCCTTTGGCCTTGGTTATTGTGACTGTGGTCCACCTGAACCGTGGTGCAGCTGACTGGGAGGCAGCTGCATTAAGATCACCACTGACTGAAAGGTCATGAGTTCGAAGCCAGCCCGGGCCGGAGTGAGCGTCTGACCAATTTGTGTAGCTTGCTGTCGACCTTTGCAGCCTGAAAGACAGTTGCATCTATCAAGTAGGTAATTTAGGTACCGCTTATGCAGGGAGGCTAACTTAACTAATTTACAATGCCATAAAAGTCTCAAGCAAGCCTGCAAAGAATGAGGAAGTATTTCATCAGTGTCACAAATGGACGGTGAAGCAACAGCTCCCCTGGTGGCCAGAATACCCTCATGAAAAAAAGTTAAATTGCCTCTGTGTCTTTCTATATATGTTGTGTGTCTATGGCATTGAATGTTTGCCATGTATATGTACATTGTCCCCTGCGGGGTGAGAAGGGCAGAATATAAATATTTATTTATTTATCGTGTCAGGGGCAGACCAAACAGTTGCATTGCATTTTTTTAAATAAACAAACCAACAAACGAAACACAAAGTTTGCAAGCTTGGTAGTTGATTAAATGTCCTTTGACCAGTATCTGGCCACTTGGAGTGCCTCTGGTGTTGCTGCAAGAAGGTCCTCCATTGTGCATGTAGCAGGGCTCAGGTTGCATTGCAGCAGGTGGTCAGTGGTTTGCTCTTCTCCACACTCGCATGTCGTGGATTCCACTTTGTAGCCCCATTTCTTAAGGTTGGCTCTGCATCTCCAACTCGCCCAGTTTTCTGTGTCTCCCAAGCGGGACATGAAGCTAAGATAGGTCCTGAAACTGATCAAGAATACTGTAAATAAATTAATAAAAATTATTGTTATGTTTGCCTTCTTGATCAGTTTCAGGCCCTATCCTAGCTTCATGTCTCGCTTGGGAGAATACAGTCCAGCTGATATTTCAGATCTACGTGATATCCAGGACAGGAAACCTGTGGCTCTCCAAATGTTGCTGGGCTACCCATCACCCCATGAACTATGTTAGCTTGGCTGATGGAAGTTCACCAAGATCCAGAAGGCAACGTGCTCCCTAGCTCTGCCCTGGACCTTCTCCTAAACCCATCCATGTTGTTGGCTGACACTATGTATTGTACAAATCTATTCCCAATATTAATATGTTGTGTTTTGTAAACAAGAAATTTCTGCTTGCCCTATCACTCAATTTCCTTTTATGGCATTGAGTTTCCATGTGTTTGGAGTAGAGTGAACACTGTGTGACCATCCAGATATACTGCAACTCCTAGCCAACACAGCCAATAGTGGAGGAGGAGGAGGAGGATGGGAGTTGCATTTTAACATTACCTAGGAGGCTGAACTATTCCCACCCTAGTTTCAGGATAAAGATGTGTGTTCACTCAGTTCAGCTATGTAATTCTTCTGCAGAACCCTTTCCACCAAATTCAGAATTATACTGGCTGTTTTCACTCCCACTCTCAAGTCACTCCTGTTGTTAAATTCGCTTTCTTTTCTGCTAAAAGCATAAAATTGAGCAAAATTATCTGTCTACTCACAGGGGGGAAAAATCTTAATTTCTTTTTCTACAGTAGTGTCATTTAATAATATAGACCCTACCAAACTGCTGCATACCACCCACAGCAGAACTGGATAGCCGGATTCACTTACAGCAAAGAGCTGTTGGTTTCAATTAAAACAAAGACCAAAAAAAATGCCCACAGCAAACCCCGGCTTGCCCACCGAATGAAGTAATTATTGGAGGATGTAAACTCACCAGTATCTTTTTATATGAAAGAACAACAGCTTTATATACATATCTGAGAGGTGTGGAGCACATGCCCTTCAAACCTGAGGGAGGAGCTTCCCGGAAAAAGAAACCCCAATTACTTCGGCGTCCCCCTCCCACATTCCCACAATTTTGAATTTTCATGTCGTAGATTCTAAGACACTAAAATCTCAACAGAAAAATAATCTGGAAAATGAGTAACAAAATGGTGTGTGTGTCCCCTAATCCTGCACAGGTCACCCCCCCACGCTCATCCTTGCACACATAGTTTTGAAGCGAGTCACAATTTTTGATGTGCGAGTGTATTGGAAAATATTTCTTTTTATAGTCTGAAAGTAAATCTGGAATATTTCTAGCCAAATATCGTGAATCTTCTTAGTCAGGAAGAAAGAAATCATGTACAGTCAGCCTTCCACATTCACTGAGGTTAGGGCCACAGGACCCCATGGAGGTGAAAAACTTTGGATAATGAAATTGCTGGGTTTTTTTAACCTAAGAGAAGACCTCTGTAGGAATCTCTGTCGGTTGTATGGTCAACGTCCATTGGAAGCCGACCACAGAATTGCACTGGAGGACCTAGATGTTCCTAAAGAGGTATTCTCTCTAGAAATCTCTAGGCCCTCCAAAATGACTCGAATGGATGACTAGATTCCCAGAGATAACTTTTGAAATAAAATCTGTGAATAATCAAATCTGCAAAAGTCAGAACTGCAAATGTGGAGGAACTGTATTCGTTTCATGAACCCTAAAGTGTGGTTATCCTATATCTACCATAGTTAAGTCAATATCTACCATTGACTTAATTCTGAGTAGACATGCATAATAGTATACTTGTTGGAGAAACATCCTGACCACGTCTACAGGCCAATGGGTCTTAAAGAAGAATAGATATATAGCCTCAAAGCTTAAAGGTAAAAGTTTTCCCTTGACATTGTCTAGTTGGGTCTGACTGGGGGGTGGTGCTCATCTCCATTCCTAAGCCAAAGAGCTGGTATGGTCCGTAGACACCTCCTAAGTCAGTGGTTTTCAACCTGGGGTCCCCAGATGTTTTTGGCCTACAACTCCCAGAAATCTCAGCCATTTTATCAGCTGTTGGGATTTCTGGGAGTTGTAGGCCAAAAACATCTGGGGACCCCAGGTTGAGAACCACTGTCCTAGGTCATGTGGCTGGCATGACTGCATGGAGTGCCTTAACCTTCCCGTAGAAGTGGTACTTAACATTTCCATGTTTTCGAACTGCTAGGTTGGCAGAAGCTGGGGCTAACAGCGGGAGCTCACCCCACTCCCCAGATTCGAACCACCAACCTTTCGGTAAGCAAGTTCAGCAGCTCAGCAGTTTAATCCGCTACACCATCAGGGGGGCCTCAAAACTTAACAGTTCTTAAGTGTGTATAGGATTGCAGCCTTAGTCTTGTTTGTCTTCAAGGGCTGCCACCAACCCCTCCATCAAAGTGACATGTCAAATAATTTCTGATATCGCATTAGGGTAAAGGAGAATTTTTGAAAGAAAACCAGTTTCAAAACCCAGATGAGGCAGTGTTAAGTCCTTAGCTCTATTCTTGAGGTCCCCAAACTCATTGTTCCTCCCCATAAAACAGGGACAACTGTTTCTGTTCAGAAAACTGTGAAAATAGAGGAAATGCAGAAAAAATAACGGGAAGGGAGGGGAAAATTCCCCTTTGAAACTTTGAAGATTACAAAACCAAGTGTCATTTGTTCTAAAAATTTAAAAGCAGCATTAAAGTTAATGGAAGGGGGTTGTTAGTGGAAACATAGAACACTGTAGGGTTGTTTTTCACACATGCGCGAGCGAGCACACACACATACTTCAGAAAACTCCAAGCATTTTTTTTGCTCAAAATAACACTTTTATCACAGTGCTTAAAACCTTGACTTGCTTCCCAAATTTTCATCTGCCCCTCCCGCCAAATCTTGCCAGATTGTAGTTATGTATCCGAGACTGATCCAAAAAGAACAGCTCTCAGTCAAAGCAGCCAATAACCAAAGGATACAAATCCATCCAAAATTAAGCACCTTTAACTCACACGACCCAGATTTGCTTGGTTGGAATTGCTAAGAATTCAGATTTATCAACAATGAGCAGCGCATCCTTATACCAGTTCCTTCCCAATAATTTTTGAGATCTCCGAGGATACCCATTCCATTTTTGTTTTGTTTGTTTACAATGTTCTCGGTGCCCTTTGGCAGATCAGAGATAACTTTTCCATGTTTTTGCCGCATGTTTTAGTTTAGATCCAGGAAAAACCTTTTTCCAATCAAGAAATGAACTGCAATGTTTTGTTTCTTGGTTTTTAAAAAGGCTTCTCCTTGTCCTAAAGCAGCATGCTATTTTACGGTTTCAAAAAGGCCTCTTTTGGGTCTATTGCCTGGCCTGAGCCGAGCCAAGCTATGTCTGCATTTGGACATAACATGAAGCCATATCCATCCTGAGCTCAGAGGTAGACAATACAAGGCTCTCTTCCCATTTTTAAACCCTTCCACTATATTTTATTATCCTTCTTCCACATACCCAACTATAGCTGAGAGGCTTTTCTAATGAGAGCCAGCACAGTCTTGAAATATAACTCCAAAGACTAAGGTCTAAATCCCGGACTTGGCCATGGAAATCCATTGACCTTGCTCAAATCTCAGTCTTACCTGAAGGCACAGGCAAACTCCCTTTGGACAAACTGTGCCAAGAAAACCTGGTACTAGGTTTGCCTTAGGACAGTGTTTCTCAACCTGGGGACAGGACCTCTGGGGGGTCACGAGGGGATGTCAGAGGGGTCGCCAAAGACAATCAGAAAAAACAGTATTTTGTGTTGGTCATGGGGATTCTGTGTGCGAAGTTTGGCCAAATTCTATCATTGGTGGGGTTCAGAATGCTCTTCGATTGTAGGTGATCTATAAAGCTCAGCAACCACAACTCCCAAATATCAAGGCATATTTTCCCCAAATTCCACCAGTCTTCGCATTTGGGCCTATTGATTATTCGGGTCCAGATTCATCACTGTTTGAGTCATTAGTACTCTCTGGATATAGGTGAACTACAACTCCAAAGGTCAAGGTCAATGCCCACCAAACCCTTCCAATATTTTCTGCTGGTCATGGGAGTTGTGTGTGCCAAGTTAGGTTCAATTCAATCATTGGTGGAGTTCAGAATACTCTTTGATTGTAGGTTAACTATGAATCCCAGCAAACTATAATTCCCAAATGACAAAAATCAATCCCCTCCCAACCCCGCAGTATTCAATTTTGGGCATATTGGGTATTTGTGCCAAATTTGGTCCAATGAATGAAAATACGTCCTACATATCAAACATTACATTACGATTCATAACAGTAGCAACACGACAGTTATGAAGTAGTAACGAAAATAATTTTATGGTTGTGGGTCACCACAACCTGAGGAACTGTATTAAGCGGTTGCAACATTAGGAAGGTTGAGAAACACTGCCTTAGGGTCTCCGTAAATTGGGAACAAAGCCATGCCGCAAACAGGAAGAGGCCTTTTTAAAATCAGGGATGAATCACCCTGTCCCCGGTTTTCTGCCAAGTTCCATCAAAACAGTGCTTTTACCTAGGTTGTTTTTTTCCTTCCAAAAAAATAAAAGCACCCAGTTTTAAGGGACAGAACAGGTTGATCCAAATGAGCCCTAGATTGGCCAAAGTTGTCCACCTTTGCAGTTCAGATTTCCAGAGAGAATCAAGCTGGAGTGACTGGGATGTGTGCACTGGCCCGCTGCTCAGTACCAATAAGCCAGAGAACCCTTGTTATTCTGGTTCAGCCTTGTGTGTGAGTGTGGCCCCTGATTTTTAAAAACATGTAGCTCTGAATACAGGTTTCACATTAAAAAAGAAAATTGTGACCAACCCCCCTACACAAATCTTGTTTCCCTCGGTTTTCTCCTTGCCAAGCTCTTTCTAGAAACCTTCCGAATGTCCAAACTTTTACAAAGTTTTCTTTTTAAAACGTATTTATAGATATTTATAGATATTTATAGATATAATATTTCTTCTTTCTTAAATGAAATCCTTCCCTCCTTGTTCTATGTGTACTCTTTTTTTTTCTTAACCTGAAGAACTAATTTTACTTTATTATTATCATTATTATTATTTGCTGGTGACATTTTTAGGCATGTGTGGGTGGACAAGGAGTGGGAGAAGAGGCAAGGGAAGGAAGGAGGAAAAAGGGAACTTTGCACGGTCAAGTTGAGGACAATCAAAGGGGGTCTGAGCCATTAAAAAAGAAAACAAAAAACAAAACAGGAAACATTACACCCTTTCCCCCTGAAACATTTGAAATGCAAACTCAACCAGAAAGAGAGAGAAAGAGAGAGAGGGAGAGGGGAAAATAAAGAACACCACTTCATTTTCACTGCAACAAGAAGCAGGCAACCCCCAATTGTGGAGGTGTGTATGTGTGCACGACAGGATGAAGAGGACAGTGGGTTGGTGCGTGCCACATAGGAGGTGATTTTTTTTCTGTAATCAGCTGTTTGTTTGTTTTTAATATATATATATGTATATTTATATATATATATATGCAAAGTCTCGCTCTTAGTTCTGAGCATCTGTCCTCCAGATCGGCTCATTGATCTGTCTGCAGAGAGTTCGGAATTTCCTGTATACGATCTGTGCCTCCGCGGTGGGAGAGTGGGCCTCTGTTGTGAGCAGAACCCCTCTTTTGCTGGAACGGTTGAACAAAAGATGTGTGCTGGTATGGAACAGTACGCGGAGCCCACCTTTATGGGCCCGACCGTGACCCACGTGGCGCAGAGAGGGTGGGGGGAGAGGAGATTGCTTCCAGTGGCATGAGGTCCCACGGCTTCCCCCCTTCGCCCCACCCCTGCTCCTCAGACGTTTGTCCAGGCATCGCCAGGGAACAAAAGACCGAAGTGTGCAGGGAAGGGGGTGGTCAAGCGGCTTGTCCTGGTGGCCAGTGGGGTCACGGCGAATGGGTGGCAGGGCTACTTCTGTTGGAGCTGGGAGAAAGGCTGGGGCTGCAGCTGCCTGGAGGTGGGGCGAGGCTGCGGGACGAGGACCCCGTTGAGGCCCCCAACGTGTCCATGCCTTCAGAGTTCTCCAGCATCTCCTGGATGAGTGGGGGCATCGACCCAGGGATCTCCATCTTCAAGGTAATGACTCTTTCAGCACCTGTGGAGCAGGGTGGAGAAGAAGAGAGATATTTGTTTGTTTATTTATTTACTATGCTCCTATACCGCCATTCTCAGCCCGAGGGCAACTCATGGAAGTTTACAAAATGGCACAATTCGATGCCCACAACAGTACAAAAATAATTTAAACATTAAAAACATTTAACACAGGTAAAAATTCATTACAATTAACATCAGTAATACAATAAAAACCATAAGTCCTCTGCATTTCATTACCAGTCATTATCCAGTCATGTTGTTCAACCATTCCAAGATCAGAGTTTAATAGCTACACTGTGTTTGGGAAGGCCTGCTTATATAGCCAGGTTTTAACTTTTTTGCGAAACGTTAAGAGGGTGGGTTCTGATCTAATGTCCCTGGGGAGGGCATTCCACAACCGAGGGGCCACCGCTGAGAAGGCCCTATTCCTCGTCCTCGCCAATCGAGCCTGTGAAGATGGCAGGGCCGAGAGCAGGGCCTCCCCAGAAGATCTTAAATTCCTAGAGGGTTTGTAAGGAGAAATACATTCGGACAGGTAAGCAGGGCCAGAACCGTTTGAATTGTGCTTGGTAGCAAATTGGCAGCCAGTGGAGCTGGCGCAACAGAGGAGTTGTGTGCTCCCTGGGTGCCGCTCCAGTTAGCAACCTAGCTGCCACTCGTTGGACCATTTGGAGCTTCCGAACAGTCTTCAAAGGCAACCCCACGTAGAGAGTGTTGCAGTAGTCTATACGGGATGTAACTCAGAGAGTGCAAGGCCTCACCCAAACACCTTCTAAACCTCAGAACAAGTTTTCTTGTTCTCCACCTGACACCAAAAACATTGCAATTGCCCAATACTGTTTAGCTTCGGGAAGGATTCAGGATCGCCGCACTCACTATTTATTATTATTTATTTACTAGCTGTACCCACCACGTGTTACTGTGGCCAACCTTCCCTTCCTCTTTCTCTCCATTCTTTCTCTCCTTCCTTCCTTTTCTTTCCTTCTCTCCGTCCTTCTCATCCTCTTCCCTCCCTCCCTCCTCTTTTCTTTCCCTTCCTCTTTCTCCCCTTTCCTCCTTCTCTACCTGTTCTTGGACTGCAGTCCTCCTGATCAATCTATCTACCTACCTATCTAAATCTATCTAATCTGGGAGCTGCAGCCCAGGAATAGGAAATTGGAAATAAGCATGGATTGGGATCCTCTCAAAGAAATCCATAGAGAAGAAAGCTTGAAGCTTGGAAGCAGTGAATTTGGATCCTCCTCCTCTCCTAAAGGGCGTGGTCTGGGGGATTCTGGGAACTGTAGTCCGGAAGAGAGAATTTGCTATTGTGTGTTTTGATTGCCGGGGGAGTCATTTTTTAATATATTTTTAAATAATTTGTACATTTAGACTTTCATGGGGGTCTTGTGCCCTTAGCCCTTGCAAATGTGGAGAGTTGTCTGTCCTTTTTGCAAAAGAGAATTATGGGAGTTGTAGTTTTAAAAAGAGACTTCTACAAGTGCAGCTTGCTGTAAATCACCCCGTGTCTGTGTACATTATCAAATTGCTTGTTTTTAAGCCTAAATGTACAGCCTTATACTTCAGCATGTCTTTTCTTCTCCTGCTACACAAAGCCCAACTTTCAATGGGAGACATTTTCCTTAGAAAACCCGGAGCCTGGCCATTACCCTTTGCGCTGATGCTTCGGAGGTCTGTGATCTTCATCAACATTTTGGGGAACATATGGGGTTTGCTAGGTCTCCTCTTCCTCACGTAGATTTTTAGGGCCTCCAAAAGTGGTTCCTGCAACTTATCTACTCGATCCGGTTGTTCCAGGTCCTGCCGATCTGGTGAGGAAGCAGGAAGTTAGAAAAACATAGAGGTCATCTGGCATACATCCCATGCATAACTGTGCATACTCACTACTTAAAGATACAAATCATGTGCTAATGTGTGTGAATTTGTACATAAGAGCAAATTTCCATGATGTTATTAGATCTGCTAACATAAACACAAAGACATCTACCTATGAAATCTTGAAAAAATTACCTAACTTATGCAATAAGTAAAGGGATATGAACCAGGAACTGTGTAGAGCAGTGCTTCATAAGTTATCCGGTATGAGAAACAGGACACTTTCCCACAATATACTAAGGACTGGTACACTATTAGTAGCCACTGCATACAACTGTTTCTTTCCTTCTTGGAAACTCTCCAAAGAGTGGCATCTGATGATTCACAAACGGGCACTTTGAGAAGCATTAATGTAGACCAGGGATCCTCAAACTTTTTAAACAGAGGGCCAGGTCACAGTCCCTCAATCTGTTGGAGGGTCAGATTATAATTTGAAAAAAGGATGAATGAATTCCTATGCACACTGCACATGTCTTATTCGTAGTGCAAAAAACACTTAAAAACAATACAATAATTAAAATGAGGAACAATTTTAATAAATACAAACTTATTAGTATTTCAATGGGAAGTGTGGGCCTGCTTTTGGCTGATGAGATAGCATTGTTGATGTTGTTGTTGTGTGCTCTCAAGTCATTTCAGACTTAGGTTGACCCTGAGTGAGGGCCAGGTAAATGACCTTGGAGGGCCATATCCGGCCCTCAGGCCTTAATTTGAGGACCCCTGAGAGCCTGGAAGCACTCTGAAATTTATTTATTTATTTATTTATTTAAAACATTTATATTCCGCCCTTCTCACCCCCGAAGGGGATTCAGGGCGGAGCACAGCATATACACAGCAAACATTCAATGCCGGGACACAGATTCACATACATAAACATTAAAAATACGTGTCAAAATATTAAAATACACCATTTAAAACCGTCCTAGCCATCCACATCAAATCCAATTGTCCTTGTCATCTTTCCCACTGCTGCTTCATTGCCCTGTCCCAAAAGCTTGGTCCCACAGCCAAGTTTTTACCATCCTTCTAAAGGACAGGAGGGAGGGGACCGACTTGATCTCACCAGGAAGGGAGTTCCATAGCCAGGGAGCAATCACCAAGAAGGCCCTGTCTCTCGTCCCCACCAATCGTGCCTGTGACAATGGCGGGATGGAAAGCAGGGCCTCCCCAGAGGATCTTAATCTCTGCGATGGTTCATAGGGGGAGATGCGTTCGGACAGATTATTTGGGCCGGGGCTGTTTAGGGCTTCATAGGCCAAAGCCAGCACTTTGAATTGTGCTCGGTAGCCAACTGGCAGCCAGTGGAGCTGCCGTAACATGGGAGTTGTATGCTGCCTGTATGCCGCCCCAGTTATTAACCTGGTTGCCTCTCGTCAGACTATTTGAAGCTTCCAAGCAGTCTTCAAAGGCAACCCCACATAGAGTGCGTTGCAGTAGTCTATCCCAGATGTAATGGAGTTTGCATTTAGGAGGGGCTTTGTACTTGTTGAAGACTGTAAACCTCACTGCCTTATTTGAAATAAAAAGTAAAGAAGAGAAATTATTCTAATAAATATCTATACAAACAGATTTTGTTTGTATAGATAGGACAAAACTCAACATGTCATCCTAGAAAATACAGTGAGTTAGCAGATGCACAACAGGTGGGAAGTAAACAACAGCAGGGATAAAATGAGCAAATCCCTCACTGAGAAAAAAGTTCCACATTTGAGACACAGAAGTTATAAGATGGGGTTTTTTGGTGTCAGGAGCGGCTTGAGAAACGGCAAGTCTCTTCTGGTTTGAGAGAATTCTCTGTCTGCAAGGACATTGCCCAGGGGATGCCCGGATGTTTTATCATCCTGTGGGAGGCTTCTCTCATGTCCCACAAGATTGTGACCACTGTATTTCACATTGATCCTATGATATGTTCACTGTAGGGTTGATATAAGCTGAAAGCAACCTGAAGGCACACAACAGCAAGAACTAGAAACCTTTCATTAATCATGCAAATGCAATATAGAGAAGATTGGGTGCACTGTTTCATTTTTGGTATGTTTTAGATTCATAAATGAGTAATTTTGCATTTTAAGCCAATTAACCAAATCTAAACTTCCTGCACGAATAACCAGAGTGAAACATAACCTCTTGTTTTCATAATTGTCTGGCCTAAATCACACCAAAATACAAACATATGCATTTTAGGTTCAAATGTGTGTGATAATGCATATTTGTGGGCAAAATGCATTTTGAAAACTGATTTGTGTGCTTTAGTTGGCAGATGAATGCAGAAATGGCATGAAGCAGGCTTATGAGCACATGCAGAACTGCCATCGACTAAAAATAAGCGAACTCATCTATGTCTACATAAGTTCACAGTTATTTCATAACTTGGGATGCTTTGAGTGGTTCTCAACGTTTGATCCTCCAGATGTTTGGGATTTCAGCTCACAGAACTTCTGGGCATTGGCCACATTGGCTGGGACACTTGGGAGTTGAAATCCAAAACATCTGGAGGATCACAAATGGAGAACCACTGCTTAAGAGCATAATGGCTTTTCTACAACCAAACTAATTAATGATTGCGAATTTGTGTGTATACAAAGACACACAGACACATATGGTTGCTACTATGCAAATACCATACCACAAGTCCACTTGGCAAATAGGAAATCTGCCAGGGAAGAGGAGATGGATAGATGGATGCCTGTCATCATCCGCACAACGCAAAACAGGCATTGCATGGTACACAGGCATTTATTAAAAATGACATGACAACAACATCTGAGGCTTTTGCACTCTTTCCTATATAGTGAAAGTAAATTCTTGGTCCGTGCTGTTAGATGGCAACATATATGGCTCTGGCCCAGCTTACTTGTCAGAATGTAACTTTTTTTGTGTAATTATGTTTTGTGTATGTTTTTTATATGCTTTGATGTTTTATACTTTATTGTTATGTTGCTTATTTTTTTGCAGTTTGTATTTTTGTATTGTAATTTGTTGTTCGGGCTTGGCCCCATGTAAGCCGCTCCAAGTCCCCGTTGGGGGAGATGGTGGAGGGGTATAAATAAAGCTTATTATTATTATTATTATTATTATTATTATTATTATTATTATCTCGCTCTATGTTCTGCCTCATAGTTTAAGATCCACCAGTGAGGCCCTGCTCTCAGGTCCACCAGCCTAGCAAACGCGTCTGGTGGGGACGAGGGACAGGGCCTTCTCGGTGGTGACCCCCTTGCTTGTGGAGTTCGCTCCCCAGCGAGATTAGATCGGCGTCCTCCCTTCTTTCCTATAGGAAAGAACTGAAATCGTGGTTGTGGAACCAACCTTTGGCTAGCAGTCATAACGGCACTTTGGACATTGAACTGCACCATATGATTGTGATAATAATGGAAGCGTCTATATGATTGTATAACTAATGCTATTATTTTAATCTATTGTGTATTTACGGTTTTATATTCTTTTTATTGTGATATTTGCGGCATCGAATTGTTGCCAGCATTAGCTGCTCTGAGTCCGCCCTCGGGGTTGAGAAGGGCAGGATAGAAATGTTGTAAATAAATAATAATAAAATAAATAAACATTACTGGGATAAGGTTTTGTAGTCAGAAATATTATTACTAAAAATTATATTGCTACACGCCCATCCATGCACTCAACTGTCTTGGATACATCAAAAGCTATCACAATCATAAACTTTCATGTTGCCCAAAGAACCTCCTGCCACCTGGTGGCACTGTTGGGTAGAGATGCAGCACACGAAAGAGGCTCTCCTGGCCTCCTTTTTCCCAGAGTTAAGAGAAGTGTGCTGTTTGTGTGCAGGGGAAGAGCAAAACAAAGTACTTTGTGTGGGATTTTAATGGGCAAGCAAGCAAAATTTGTTTCTTGCTTGTTTGACCGCCAAAAACGCTGACAGCCAAATACAGTCTCCAGGGTGGTTTTTTTAATGCTGTAGGATTTTGAATCAAGATTGATGTTAAATACGTGGAGCTCATTTTGTGGTGTTTCAAATAATCATCATCATCATCATCATCATCATCACCACCACCACCATCACCATCACCACACAGTCTTAGACGCTTGGGAAGTGTCCAATGTGTGATCCAATTCAACAGCCAGCAGAGTGTCTGCTGTGGACTCATCTTGTTGTGTTTCTAATAATAATAATAATAATAATAATAATAATAATAATAATAATCACACAGTCCTAGATGTTTGGGAAGTTTTCGACTTGTGATTTTGTGATACGAAATCCAGCATATAGATCTCGTTTGCTGTGACATACTGTGCTTTTGTGTCAATAATAATAATAATAATAAAAAGATCGAACTGCAAAGATTCTGGCACAAGCCAGTCAAGGTGGCCCCATTGGTGATCGGCACACTGGGTGCAGTGCCTAAAGACATTGGCCTGCACTTAAACACAATCGGCACTGACAAGATTACCACCTGCCAGCTGCAAAAGGCCACCTTACTGGGATCTGCATGCATTATTCGCCGACACATCACATAGTCCTAGACACTTGGGAAGTGTCCGACGTGTGATCCAATACAACAGCCAGCAGAGTGTCTGCTGTGGACTCATCTTGTTGTGTTTCAAATAATAATAATAATAATAGTCTTTATGTATATCCTGCCACCATCTACCTGAGCTCCCTTAGCGACTTACAGGGCACTCCAGGATGCACATATAAGATACAACAGGTAAAAATGGTACAAATAATAATAATAAAAAATAAATATTAAGCAGGATTGAGAGGAGTTCAAAGCAGGATTGGGTCCAGGGATCTTAGAATTCATCCTGAGCTAAAGCAGTCATTACAAATGAAAGCCTACAAGCTTCAAGAACAAGAGGAACAACACCCAGAACTTTATTATTATTGCTTGATTTAGAGCGGTTTCCCCAATTTGCTGCTAGAATTTAGAGGCTAGAGTTTGAGAAGGTGTTAGGGAAGACTGTATGTCTGCAGCTTAATGGGATGTGCACTTCATCTTGGCTCAAGATCTGTTCAGGGTCAATTGCTAGGGTACTCATGTTCTGTAAGTTCCCATTCTCCTGAAATGTTGTCAAGGGAATAGGGAGTTCTCAACAAACTTAAATGACTCAGTCTAATTGAGAAGAATAAGGGTTTTGATTTGCAGAGTAGAAACCAGAAATCCAAGAGTTGATTTGTAGCATCGAGGGCTTTGGGAGGTGGTGGATTGAAGGTCCCAGATACAGGGTTGCTATGTGTTTTCCGGGATGTAGGACAATGTTCAGAAGCATTCTCTCCTGACGTTTCGCCCACATCTATAGAAGGCATACTAAGGTGTGTTGGAAATCAGGCAAGTAAGCTTTCTATATCTGTGGAATGTCCAGGGTAGGAGAAAGAACTCTTATTTGTTTGAGGCAATTGGCCACTTTGATTAGCATTTAATGGCCTTGCAGCTTCAAAGTATGCCTGGCTGCTGCATGGGAGACTTCTTTGTTGGGAGGAGTTAGCTGGCCCTGATTGTTTCTTGTCTGGAATTCCCCTACTTTTTGAGTGTTGCTCTTTATTTACTGACCTGATTTTAGAGTTTTTAAAATAATAGTTGCCAGATTTTGTTCATTTTCATGTTTCTTCCTTTCTGTTAAAATTGTCCACATGCTTGTGGATTTGAATGGCTTCTTTGTGTAGTTATTAAAGTGGTCCAGCATTTCTGTGTTCTCAAATAATATGCTGTGTCCAGGTTGGTTCATCAGGTGCTCTGCTATGGCTGACTCTGAGGATGCCTGCCACAAATGTGGACAAAATATCAGGAGAGAATGCTTCTGGAACATGGCCATACAACCCAGAGAACTCACAGCAACCTACTGATTCTGCTCATGAAAGCCTTCAACAACACATTGTCCCAGATACACTTTGTTCTTAAATATGTCTTAAGTATAGCCTGTGGAATAAGTTAGGCTATCTTTCTCATGTGATTGCTTTTGCCTTGGGTGCCTTAAAGCCTGAAGCAAAATCTTAGGGCTAGACTTTTAAGTAGCTTTAAACATCTAAGTTTTTCCTGGTTTTTATTCATTTAAGGGGGGGCGGCCCTCTATGTTTAAAAGCCTCCCACCAAAAACATAAAAATCTCTGGATTTCATAAAGACACTTCAGAAACAGGTCGATCTCTTCTTAACATTGTTGTTGTTTACCTTCAAGTTTTTTCCCAGGCATTGCGAACCTATCAGTGTTTTCTTGGCAAACTCAGAAAAGGTGTAACATTGGTTTTTTTTTCTCAAGCTGAGAGAGTGTGACTCAGCCAAGCTCACCCAGTGGATCTGATGGACAAACAGGGATTTGAACCTTTGTATTCAGAGTCACTGTCCACCGCTCAAAGCATTACACCACATTGGCTCCCCTATGCTTGGTCTGTATGTACACAGCACATGGTTCAACTTGGCTGGAAGATTAGAGAAAATATGAACACTGGAATTTAAAATGGAACAATCCACGAAAAGCACTTCCACTTGATTCAGCTCAGTATATAAACTGTCCCTTATTATGTCGCCTATTTATTTATTTATTTATTTATTCATTCATTTATACCATTTCTATCCCGCCCTTCTCACCCCTGAGTAGATCTTAAATTACGAGGTGGAACATAGAGGGAGATACGTTCGGACAAGTAAGCTGGGCTGCAGCCATACAGAGTTTTATAGACAAGTATTCTGGACTGTTTCGTCACTACTGATCTTTGATGTAGGAACACTTCCAAAGCAAAGAAAGAGCAATCATTGACTGACCGATCCACCACTCAATGTGGGTAACCAGCATTTATGACTTCACTGATCAAGTGTGACACGGAGAGGCTCAGTTTCCTGATCATTCCCTCCCAGGTACAAAACCAGGGTTTAGGAACACTACATGCACAGTGGGAGTTGGCACTCAAAACACAAACTTATCCAAGCTGTGGTCAAAATGCTGTCAGTATTTCAGCATTTTGACCACATGTTTAGAGCAGATTCACAGAATTAATGGGCCTTAAGGTAACATAAGCTTCACCAATTTGGTGGTAAAGATAAACAGCCATAGACTTGGCTCCAGTCTACTTTGTGAATAGGAATGAATATAAATCTTACAACCATTTTGTAATGATTACCAGAGGGTAGTTGATAAAAATTGAATTATATATTAATTACTGTTATAAAAGATATTGGACATAATTGCTTTTAGACTACTTATAACGGAGTTTGCCATTCACAAAATGCTCTCCTGTTCCTGTGCAGCAGCCATAAAACAAATATGTGGGTTATCTTCATCACCAGCAACGTATTCTATATATTCTTCCTAATTTTTAAAGTCAAAACAAGCTGTGTATGTTGTTTTCCCTCTGTCTTTGCCCTTTAAAGCAGCGTTTCTCAACCTGGGGGTCAGGACCCCTGTGAGAGCTCACGAGGGGGGTGTCAGAGGGATTGCCAAAGACCATCAAAAAACACATATTTATGGGTTGTTGTAGGTTTTTTCGAGCTATATGGCCATGTTCTAGAGGCATTCTCTCCTGACGTTTCACCTGCATCTATGGCAAGCATCCATGCCATAGATGCAGGCGAAACGTCAGGAGAGAATGCCTCTAGAACATGGCCATATAGCCCGAAAAAACCTACAACAACCCAGTGATTCTGGCCATGAAAGCCTTCGACAACACATATTTATGATGGTCTTAGGAACACAGTGCTCTGCAGAGGTAGATGAACTATATCTCCCTTAAATCGCTGTCAATTCTTCCCAAATCCCTCCAGTACTTTCTGTCAGTCTATTTTCCCCAAACTCCACCAGTATTCACATTTGGGCATATTGAGTATTAGTGCCAAGTTTGGTCGAGATCCATCATTGTTTTAGTCCACAGTGCTCTCCGGATGTAAGTGAACTACAACTCCAAAACTCAAGGTCAATGCTCACCAGATCTTTCCAGTATTTTCTGTTGGTCATGGGAGCTCTGTGTGTCAAGATTGATTCAATTCCATCATTGCTGAAGTTCAGAACTCTCTTTCATTGTAGGTGAACTATAAATCCCAGCAACTACACTCCCAAATGACAAAATCAATCTTCCCCTAACCACACCAGTATTCAAATTTGGATGTATCAGGTATTTGTGCCAAATTTGGTCCAGTGAATGAAAACACATCCTGCATATCAGATATTTACATTACGATTCATAACAGTAGCAAAATTATTTATTTTATTATTTTATTTATTGCATTTGTTGACCGCCGCTCTCAGCCCTAGGGCGACTCGCGGCGGTGTACAACATATAAAAACAGTTTACAGTAGAGCACAATAAGAAATCAACATATCAAAAGACAAGCTAATCTAAATTACACTAACTAATCCGCTCCGTCACATCAGAATCATAACCAATCTCATAATCCATATTCCGTTCCAGTTGTCGTTACCAGTTAATGTAGCATTTAGTTAAATGCCTTCTCAAATAGCCAGGTCTTTAGGCTCTTACAGAAAGCCATAAGGGAGGGCGCCTGTCTGATGTCAACAGGGAGGGTGTTCCACAGCCGGGGGGCCACCACCGAGAAGGCCCTCTCTCTCGTCCCCGCCAGACGCGCCTGCGAGGCAGGCGGGATCGAGAGAAGGGCCTCCCCAGACGATCTCAAGGCCCTCGTGGGCTCATAGGCCGAGATGCGGTCCGAAAGGTTAAATTACAGTTATGAAGTAGCAACGAAAATAATTTTATGGGTCACCACAACATGACAAATTGTATTAAGGGGTGGAGGCATTAGGAAGGTTGAGAACCACTGCTTTAGAGGCTAGTAGGACCAAAGGCAGAAGCATCACACCCATACTATCACTCACACACACACACACACAGAGCCACCACTCCACAGTGCACTGGAATGATACCATGCATTTCCTCTCTGTAGCCAACCAACCAAGGACCTAGGTCCAGAACTTATCCCTCAACTTCTCCCAATTACGATACTCACCCCCACATATGAGGCATATGGCGCTGAGCAGTCCTGTTTCGGCATCATCCATCTCAAGTGGCAGCAGCTGGTTGGCAAAGGCGAAGACCAGATCCGTGAGTGGCCCAAAGCCTGCGTTATGCATCTGCGTGCGGTTGAGTGTCAGGCCATCTGAGAAAGTCATGGTGTCCTGGTCTGGGGTGTAGCGCGTACATATCCGGAGGATCTAGAAGGAGAGCATTGATTGCATCAGGTTTACACCCATTCCTTCCACCTTTACTTGTAACAAAGCCATAAAGTAGGTGATGTGGTTTACCGGTGGACAGATGTGGATTGTAAGCCTCCTTGGAGAACTAAGATTCAGTTCTTCTAAGTCTTTCCAGCTGGACACCTAGAATTCTGACTTCTGTCCTACTTCTGCCTTTGTTTCACAGGGGAAAGGACTCCCTACTTACCAGGATGTCTAGGCAGGCAGCTTTGAGAAGCGTGATCTGATCAGCGATGGTGAGCGTGGTGAAACCTGGCAACTGCTTGGCGAATTCAACTGTCTTGATGATGCACTTTGTGGATAGTTCACTGAACTTGTCCCATAGGTCTATGTCGAGAGACACCCGCTGATCAGAACTGTTATTCTGGAGGACAAGAGAAACACAGGGTTAGAGAATGGTATCTGAGAGTCAAGCAAAATGGTCAAATTTGATTCCACATTCCATTTTCACCCCAATTTTTCCTTCCTAGAAGCTTAAATGGGAGAATTTTGCTTGACGGTCAGAATGATTTTCTTTAGGGTGAATTCACAAGGCATTGCATTCCCAAGTCACATAATACCATCTTCACATGGAAGGTGTGACTGGTTTTACTTCCTTTAGTCATATGAACAAAAACTGGAAATGTTCAATGGCAGTGCTAGTACAACATAGGGTTTTATGGCCATGTTCTAGAAGCATTCTCTCCTGACGTTTCGCCTGCATCTATGGCAGGCATCCTCAGAACTCACAACCTCTGAGGATGCCTGCCATAGATGCAGGTGAAACGTCAGGAGAGAATGCTTGTAGAACATGGCCATATAGCCTGAAAAACCTACAACAACCCACTGGAAATGTTACTTTTTTTGCACTACAAATTCCAGAACCTTCCAGCCAACTTGGCTACTGCCCACACAGGCACTGTGGGAATTATCCTCTAACAATAAGGCCTGCAACTATCTGATGGCACTTAACTTTTTATCTTCTTGCATAAATTAAAAATGGAATAAAAGCATCAAAGGAAAGAGACGTTGTAATCTGAGAACGATCAGACCAAGACTGGAAAACAAAACTGATTTTGGGTTTGCCTTTAGAATGCTGAAAACAATTTTGAGATGATATTGAACCAAATGTTAGGATATAAAAAAAATTCTAAACCCAAAACATGAGGGTCTAAATCAGTGGTTTCCAACTTTTTTTTTTTTTTTTACCAGGGACCACTCTCCAACATTAGTACCAAAGGAGTTACGAATCAGTTTTTGGTCAACTTTAGATTCGGTTTGGTTATTTGAGATGTTGATTCAGAAAATTGCACTGGATAGACCAAATCAGCTCTAGTTCCTGATATAGAACGTAAGCCATCCAGTAGTTGCCATCTGCTCACCCACAGAAAACCATATTTAATAAACTTTGGCATTATAAGAGGGTTTTACGAGACCAGTTCATCTTGTTGCAACAGTGTAGTAACGGTGAGACTGCGGACCATATTTTAGTTCTTCGACCACGGGTTGGTAACCACTGGTCTAAACCCTAGTGTTAGTTCTAAACAAGGCAGAACCATTGAATCACTTGGATTTATCTACATGTTGACTCATAATTCCACACGCAATTCAAAAACTCTATTCTAGTTGAGGCTAACCAACAAATTCTAAGTAAGGTGTGTTGTTTTGTTTTCATTTCTGGCTAATGGAAAGGCAACTCGAAAAGAGCTGGAAAGTGCCAGATAATACTGCAAAATAATCAGACTGGGTCTGCCTAACCTAGTTAGCATCCTACTTAGCCCAGCGCTAGTAAAACATAGGCAGAATGACTCAGATCCCACCAGTTAAAGGACTAGTTGGCAAGTGATGAAAAAGTTTCTCCACCAAAGATCATGGACAGTTTCAGGCAGCCAAGGAAGGCAACACAATGCCAGATAGGTGATATGGCCAATTTGTCCTTAAAGATGAGAATAGATCTATGATATTAGGAATCTATTTAAAAAAGTACATAGCATGGTTATCCCAGCCATGTTGCTGGCCAATTTTTCATAGAGCCAGAAGGTACCGTCCCTCTGTCATTTGAGCACCACTGGGTATAATGTGCTGTCCCCAGGTTCTTGAACACTGTGGTGGTTAAAAAAATGTAGATCCTATTGGAAACTAAGCAGAATCAAGCCTGTTATTACTTGGATAAGGACCATTAAAGGACACCAGGTGTTGTAGGTTAAATTTCAGATGAAAGTAACAGCAAACCACCTTTGTGTATTCCTTACCTAAGAAAACCCTATGAAACTCAATACATTGCTGTAAGTTGACAGACAACCTGAAAGTGTGTGTGCGCGTGCACACACACTTTCCTACTAGAAATTTGAGTGAATGGACGGATTGTGATTGTGACCACTTAATTATTTGCTAGAAAAATTACAATGTTTTTATTTTGATGTAATTTGTTTATATGTCTTCTCTTTGGCATTGAATGTTTGCCATATATGTTGGAAACTGCCCTGAGTGTCTTTAGGGAGAAAGGGCTGTCTATAAATAAAGTTGTTGTTGTTGTTGTTAGATACATAACAAAATTAGTACACAGCAAACAAGATCACTATGCTGGCTTTTGTATTTGATCACATGTCGGACACTTCCCAAGTGTCTAGGACTGTGTGATGTAGTGGTGAATAATAATGTATCTAGCAAATTATTATTTTACTAACACAAAAACACAGTATGTCACAGTAAATGAGATATATATGCTGGATTTTGTATCACAAAATCTCAAGTCGAACACGTCCTAAGCATCTAGGACTGTGTGATGTATTTCCATGTAGATCCAAGTCAGGTGGCCTTTTGCAGTCGACAGATCGTGATTTTGTCAATGTTTATTGTTTCCAAATGCCAGCTGAGATCTTTTGGCACAGCAGCCTGTTGTTGTTTGTTGTTGTTGTTATTATTATTATTACAGGTATGTGACTGTTTTCAGAAACTTATTTTTACCTTTTAATATATTTATATACTTTTAAAACTTTCTTAATCATTGTTTGTTTTGTTTATTTTGCAGGAAATACAAGCAACTAGTATTGGATGCATCACAGCTGACAAACTGGGCTGAAAAACAGGATATTGTTCAGGACAGTGTTACATGAGAACAGGGATAATTTAAGACTCCTCTGTGTTAAATATTACTGAAACACCTGTTCATGTCCATTTGGTCATGAATGTATATTAGTGGGAAACTGTTTTATTTAAGAGAATATATGTATTGGATTAAAGTGACCATGTTGCTATTAGGGAATACATTATGTGAGCTGAGGCTTTCTGCAATATTATTCCAACTTCAACATAAAGCAGCTCCGTGAGAATAAATAACGCTGGCCAACACACATTTTGGTTCTTCAAATGTGACAACTTGTTTTTGAATATATTTGACTTGCTGATTCCAAAAGTGGCACCAGTTTTCCCCTATAAGCTCTAGTTTTTTAGATACATAATATATCTGTTTCAACTGCTCACCCATTGAAAGTCATGATTACTACATCTAAAAAACCAGAACAGATGTGGTCCACCCAGTACAATTTTCTGAATCAGTGCCCCAAATAACCCCAGGAACTAGCCAAGAATTTCTTTTGTTGACATGGGCAAATAGGACCAATTAGCCACATTGGTTCAAATGACACAATATGGCTTTCTGTATGGGGCACGGCAGGAGGAGAGTTGCACAACCCCAGTGGTAATCTTCTTGCAAATGAATTGCAATTTACTTACACCGTACCAATAACAATTTCCCCTATTTATCTTTCTACCAATCTCACCCCTCTTCCTGTGAGCTGCCCTCCTTTCATTCAGTTGCCACTTACCGTGGTGTATTTGCCCAACTGGCAGAGGGCAGGGAAGGTCTCCTGATGGGCCTTGCGTACTTTCTCAATGAGATCCTCTACCTCAGGCGTGATGATATAGCTCTCCGAACATTCCTGCTTTGGAGCATCTTTCTTCTTCTTGTTTCTGTCGTTTCGGACAGCTGAAAGCACATACAAAGAAGAGGTCACAGGATGAGCGATGCTACCCAAGACGAGGGAAAAACCAAAAGCTCTGAGTTGAGAGTCGACCCATTCAGCCTTCCTTCCTAGGCTACAATCATTAATACTGCTTACTGCTAATGTTATTGCCACAGTAATAGTCATAGCATTTGGAATGCAAAGGTTCCGATGGTACTTCATTAAAGTGAACCAAAGGCAGTAGCAGCGAAATTGTACAGAATTTATTTAAGAAGTAATAATAGGCAGTCCAATGAAAAGATAATTTTCCGAAGCATTTTGTATCAACGGATGACTGAGAAATTTAAATTCACATTTTAAAGTTAAGTATGATAAAAAGGTAAAGGTTTCCCTTGACATTAAGTCTAGTCATGTCTGACTCAAGGGGGTGGTGTTCATCTCTGTTTCTAAGCTGAGGAGCTGGCATTGTCTGTAGACACCTCCAAGGTCATGTGGTCGGCATGACTGCATGGAGCGCCGTTACGCTCCCGCAGAAGTGGTACTTACTGATCTATTCGCATTTGCATGTTTTAAAACAGCTAGGTGGCAGAAGCTGGGCCTTACGGCAGGAGCTCACCTGCTCCCCAGATTCGAACCGCCAATCTTTGGATCAGCAAGTTCAGCAGTTCAGCGGTTTAACCCACTGTGCTACCGGGGGGGGGGGGGCATTAAGTATGATAAGGTTAGTAAATATAATACATCTGATGAATGAACTTGGCAAGCACAAAGCAAGCGCACAAAATGTGAACTGTTGAAACCGGAACAGTTCACATTTTTTGTTGAAAAATTAAAATAATCATGTAAACAAAAATTGAAGTTTTGAAAAATGTGCCCCTTTTTTAGGCAGAAAAACCTCTCCTCATCTTATATTCAACTCAAAGTCTGTTGTTATTGTTGTTATTAATAATTATTTTACTCTATTATTATTACATTTATTATTATTTCACTCTATTGTTATTGCATTTATTATCTTACTCTATTTATTAGTGTTATTATTACATTTATTATTTTACTCTATTTATTAGTGTTATTATTATATTTATTATTTCACTCTATTATTACATTTATTATCTTACTCTATGTATTAGTGTTATATTTATTATTTCACTCTATTATTACATTTATTATCTTACTCTATTTATTAGTGTCATTATTACATTTCCATTATTTCAGTCTATTATTATCATTTTTATTACATTTATTAGTTTACTCTATTATTATTGGAAAGATATGGAAGCACATTTACATCAAAGAAGGTTAGAATAATGGTTTAATCAGAGTTTGACAGTCTTATCTTAAATTACAGTTTTATGTAAATATTCAAAAACATTTAACCTACTGATGCCTCAATTAATGTAATTTTATTGGTATTTATTTTTATTTTGAACTTTACCAGTAGCTCCTGCATTTCCCACCATTGACTTATACAGAAGTTAATACGTTTTCCTGGATTTTTGTAAATTAGATGCCTTGGCTTATATTCAGGTCAGCTTATACTTGAGTATATATTGTACAACTATCTTTTGGGGTGGTATTCTCTTTACAGTGTATCACATCTGCCTCGGTTGTGGAGTTCCAACAATCAAAGACCTGTGTTAAGACCAGGCTTGCAAATGAAACCACTTATCCACAGCTATCCACTTATACTAGCATCATAAAAACAACCACAGTACAATCAAAATATTACAAATTAAAACAGCAATTAAAAAAACAATTAATTAAGACACATCCATTAAAATTGGAATCCAAAAACCAATCCGGGTCAATACATTGCCATAAGTTATGTAATCTTCTTCCACTTGCTGCTCACTAATCAAACGCTTGGTCCCTTAACCAGATCTTGATTTTCCTTCTAAAAGACAAGAGGGAAGTGGCCAATCTGATATCTCTAGGGAGGGCGTTCCATAGGCGGGGGGCCACCGTTGAGAAGGCCCTGTCTCTCGTCCCCATCAACTGTGTTTGCAATAGTTATGTTAGAATAGGTAAAAAAATGCCATTAAATGCAACTTCAAGAGTGTTCATACTATTTTGACTAACGACATATAGAAAAGTCGCTTTTGGAACTATAACTGCCTGAACCCCCAGCCACTGGCCATGTTGGCTGGAGAACTTTGGGAATAGTTATCCAAAAAATTACTTTTCCAAGTTCTGATTTTTGTTCCCATGAGAGAGCGGTTTTTCCAATTCAAAATACAGTGGAAAGTAAACCTAATCCAGAAGCATGCCCAGAAAACAAATGATTCCAGAAGTCTCATGTCAGTGAGCCTAATAAGATGCTACAGAAGATATTTCACACTCAATCAGATTTCTTTCCAATCCTACTCATTACAATTACTCAGATTCAAAATACAAGAAATCTACCAAATTACTTAATGGTGGTAACATCCGATGCTCTACAACACTTTTACTGCCCCAGGAGAAATGAAGAAAATACAAACAGATCTAATGAGGAGTGTGTGTGCATGTGTGTGTCCCTCCGCATGCATGGGTACATGCACATCCATATCCTTGTCTATTTTGGACCATTGTGAGCTGCAGCTGAGGAAACAGAAGATATAAGATAAATGTCACTTGTTTATTCAGCTAAGTGAGGCTCTTTGTTCCTTCAAATATTTCAGAATTATTGGGATTTCCCCAACTGACTTTGTTTGTGTTAGCACTTCTACACTCGTTCCTTACTGCCAAAAAACAGCATCTGAAGAATAATGAGAAATGTCACATTAAGCACAACGAAGCTTTAACCAGCTCGGAAGTATCAAGAGGGAAACATCTGACAAAGCCAGATCCAGTGTTGGCTTGACCTCCCAGAAGGCCTTGGAAATCAGTGGCTATACATACGGTGGTCAGGAGAACAAGCCCTATGAGGAGTGGCTTAAAGAACTGGGCATGTTTAGCCTGAAGAAGAGAAGGTTAAGAGGAGATGATGAGGGCCATGTATAAATATGTGAGGGGAAGTCATAGGGAGGAAGGAGCAAGCTTGTTTTCTGCTGCCCTGGAGATTAGGATGCGGATCAATGGCTTCAAATTACAGGAAAAGAGATTCCACCTGAACATTAAGAAGAACTTCCTGACTGTGAGAGCTGTTCAGCAGTGGAACTCTCTGCCCCAGAGTGTGGTAGAGGCTCCTTCTTTGGAGGTTTTTCAACAGAGGCTGGATGGTCATCCATCAGGGCTGCATTGAATGCGATTTTCCTGCTTCTTGGCAGGAGGTTGGACTGGATGGCCCATGAGGTCTCTTCCAACTCTATGATTCTATGATTCTAGTAGGGTTTCGGTCATAGACTTCGGGTTTTCTGAAGAACTGAAGTCTCTCACTTTATTGTATCCCATATTTTCTCTAGAAAATATGGTACTTAGTCTCCTAGAGTCCATCAGCCCTATACTACTAGTACTACTAGTACTACTAGTACTAATAATAATAATAATAATAATAATAATAATAATAATAATAATAATAATAGAGTGGTTGTGGGATAGAAAATTGACTCCCGGGGCAGGGATTTGGACTGGATGGCCTACAAGGTCTCTTCCAACTCTATGATTCTAAGTTGGAGGATGAAGCCACATCTTCTTATGGACGTCTCAATATGAAGGAGGAAGGAGGAATATCTGGAGGGAAAATACATGGGTCACAGACCTTGAAGGACCACACTTTTTAACAGGTCTGGAAACTCAAAGTTAGCCAATGCAGTTGGGATCGAATGCAAGTTCTCTGCAACTTATTCCTGTCTGAAGGTGCACCAAAATCTTCTGCACTAGTTGTAACTCTTAAAAACATCTTCAAGAGTCATCACACATAGAGGTGGTCAAGAGATCAGGCTTCCAAATCTTGAATGACTGAAGCCTGACTCCTCTCAGGTCTAAGCAGGAATGGCTATTGGAGAATCCAGCAAATGTGGCTCTAGGAAAAGCATGATACCTTCAGCCTGAACAGGAAGAAGTAACAATCCTTCAAGCCTGAGTTGGCCTGTTGCAATAACCTCTATCTTGTTTGTTACTATTCCACTACTGCTTATTCTCATTCTACATTAATACTCCCAGAGGCCTACACCCAAATGCTTTACTTTACTTAGGCGATACATCGTAGCTCAAGGATGATTGACTTCCAGATGTGGTGTCTTGGTGGTGGGTCTGTATGTGGCTGTGGAGCCCTATTCTTGATCCGCATGTTCTCCATCGGTTTCCAGACGGAAGGCAATCCCGGTCAGGGTTGGCTTGATGTGCCTTCCTCTTGGCATGTTTCTCCCTTTTGCCCTCCATTTGTGCCTTTTCAAATTCTGCAGCACTGCTGCTCACAGCTGACCTCCAGTTAGAGTGCTCAAGGGGCAGGGCTTCCCAGTTCTCGGGAGTCTATGCCACAGTTTTTGAGATTGGCTTTAAGCCCATCTTGAAATCTCTTTTCCTGTCCACCAACATTTCATCCACTAACACCCAAATGCATCTTCTTGTGTAGATTGGCTATTCACTAAACCATAGGCTAATGGGTAGTCTAAGACCTGTAGAATTCTCATTCATCTGAGACTTGTCCATCCGTAAGTGTGTTTAGGAAGTGATATATAGCATGATAGTAATGTATTACAATAAGCCACGGTACTCCATGCTTGTGTTACATCCAGGGTAGACTACTGCAATGCGCTCTACATGGGGCTGCCTTTGAAGATGGTTCGGAAGCTTCAAATAGTCCAACAAGAGGCAGCCAGGTTAATAACTGGGGTGGCATACAGGGAGCACACAACTCCCATGTTACGCCAGCTCCACTGGCTGCCTGTTTGCTACCGGGCACAATTCAAAGTGCTGGCTTTGGACTATAAAGCCCTAAACGGCCCTGGCCCAGTTGACCTGTCTGAACGCATCTCCCTTTACAAATCACTGTCAAAACTAAGATCTTCTGGGGAGGCCCTGCTCTCGGTCCTGCCACCATCACAGGCGCATTTGGTGGGGACGAGAGACAGGGCCTTCTCAGTGTTTGCCCCTTGGTTATGGA